CCGTGACAGCCATGTCCCTGCAGCACATCTGTGCCCGGCGCTTCCACGGGCACTTGGCCTCGATCCACGATTCCCGCACCAACAGCTTCCTGCTGCTCCTGGCGCGCCAGCGCTCCATTGCTGGCGAGGTCTGGATCGGTGCCGTCAGCCAGCCCGCTGTAAGGACCCCCACCATGTGCCCACCACCCTGGCCTCAGGGTACCCTGTCTCCTCCCAGTGTCCCCAGTGCCCACCCTGGATGTCCCAGCCCCACCCCACAATTCCCAGTGCACAACCTGGGTTCCCTAATGCCTACCCTGGATGCCCCCTTCCCATCTCACTGTTCCCATTGCTGGAGGTCCCCATACCCTTTCTCCCCTGACAGATCCCAATCCCGAGCTGCCACTGGACTGACCGGAGCCCCTGGAACTACAGCCGGTGGATTCCCGGGCACCCCCTGCCCGGCCACTGCTTCTGCACCGCCATCTGCACCAACAGTCAGTGGGGGCTCTAAGGAAGGGGTCCAGGGGGGCTCAGGGGTAGTCCCTGCCCATGACGGGGGGAGGCTGCTGAGGGGCTCAGGATGGGGAGGTGACACTGTGGGGCTGGTATCTGGGGCATCTGGGGGGTTATCCCTTGGGGCTGGAGGGGAGTCCCTGGAGGGCTGATCTCCATTCTTCTCTCCCCAGATGGGCTCTGGAGGAGTGTGCGCTGCAAGAAGCGGCTGCCCTTCATCTGTGAGATATGAAGGGCTCAGCCCTCCTGGATGCCCCCAGGCCTTCCCCACATCTGCTCCCCCCCGGGGGGGCTGCACCCCCTCCCTTGGAGTACAATAAAGTCTTGCTGTCGGCACCCACTTGGTGTTTGGGGAGGGCCAGGGGCCCGGGCTGGGTGCACCCAGGGTGGGCACAGAGTGGTTTTGGAGGTGTCCCTTGTTTCCTGCACAGCTCCTGTGTCACATGGTCCCCTCTTCAGGGATCTCTGTGATCCTCACCCATGGGCCAGGAAAAGAGCCAGGACTCTCTGAACTGACCAGCGAGGTTTTATTGTCTGTGGCAGCGGCACCATGAGCCGGACCCATCGCCCTGTGTCCAGGGCCATACACGAGCAGGGGGGAGGGGAAGGGGGAGGCTCGTGCCCACCCCCAGCCCCCTGGGGACTAAGGGGACGGGGTACATTAGGGGGATGGGGAGGAGGTGTTGGGAAGACAGGGACCCTGCGAGCTTGTACAAAGTGCATAGGTAGGTATGTGTGTGTGTGTGTGTCCCCATGGTAGGGGACAGCCCTGGTCCAGGGACAGTGGTCTGTCAGCATCGGGGAGCGAGCCTGGAAGTGACACAGGGGGGAGGGGGTGAGGACCCTGCAGGGGCCCCCCAGGGGTGACCCAGCCCAGGGGGATCCAGCCAGGGCAGAGAGGAGGGAGGGGGCTACCCCCAGCAGTGCAGACATGGGGAGCTGGGGGGGTGCGTCCCCAGCACTGCCTCAAATCCCACACTCACCCAACTCAAGGCTTCTTCCTTTTCAGCTTCAGCGCTTGCAGCCAGTTTGGGGCAGAGGCCTCAGATCTGGGGTAGTGGCAGAGTTTCAGCATGAGCCCCCAAAAACCTGTCCCGGGACCCAGACTGATCCCCTCAGCCTCCATGAAGATCCTGGCCCCACACTCACCCTGAGGATTTCTCTGGCTTGGGAGGCAGGGTCGGGGGTTTCACACCAGGGATCTTGCAGGACTTAGAGCGCTGCACATGGGGGTCTTTAGGAGGGGTCCCCTTGCTGTCCCCTGATGATGTTCCCTCTTCAGCCGAGCGGTTGCGACCCCTCAGCTTAGCCTGGGGGCAGAGAGAGGTCAGGGAGAAACACAGTGCTCTGCCAGCCACATCCCCCACTGCCTCCCCCCTGTCTCCAAGGCCCCAGCCCCACCCTGCCTCAGTTTCCTTGCGTTCTACCCTCTCTTTCACCTTGCAGTCAGGAGTCCAAGGGACTCACCTTGATGGCAGAGGCGCTGAGGCCAGGAAAGAGAGGCACCTTGACCCCCTTGCCCGAGGGTGAGCCGCGCATCCGCCGGCTCCGGGGCTCCTCTGCTGCCTCCTCATCGGAGGACACTGGCAGGGCTGGCCGGGGCTCTGTGGGCACACAGGGACAGTGTCACCATGACAGTGTGCCAGGACAGACACCCTGCTCCCATCCCCATTCCCGCTGGGCTCACCCGTGGAGTCCCGGAAGATCCAGCTCTCCCCCTCAGTGGCGGTGGGACGCAGGGATGGCGCCCGGTGCTGGCGCTTGCGGCCCAGGCTGGCCTTGCAGCGAAACACGCTGCTGTCCAGGAGTTCTGTGTCCTGCCAAGCCCGGGGGACAGGTCACAGCTGGCACAGAGAGCCCAGGGACTCCCCATCCCAGCCAACACACCCACAGCCTCCACAGCAGTGCTGGAGGCCCTCAATCCATGGCTGTCCCTAGGGGCAGAGATGCCCCATCCAGACATGTCCTGTGACAGCCAGGCAGTCCTAGGCCATACAGGGTGATCAGAATCTCCCCACTTCCACTCACCTCCAGAAGGGGAAATTCCTGCCCCTGCTCCATGGACCCCTCGGCCTCGGGGGCAGCCAGAGAGAGCCGCTGCTCCCCCAGCCTCAAGGAGCTCTCCCCATCTGGGTGGTCTGAGGGCTGTTCCTCACTTCCTGTGTCCACTGGGATCCCACTGACAGCCTCTGGCAGCAGAGGGGGAGCCCTGGAGCTCTGTGGGGCAGTGGCTGGCTTAGAAGGATCCCTTTCCTCCTCAGAGGGGCTGGGTGACTCACTCTGGGGAGGCTCCACAGATGGAGGATCAGCTGGAATGTCACCCATCAAAGGGCTGGGGGCCAACCTGCTTGGGAGACAAAACCCCAGAGTTGCTCTAGCCCTGGGTAACACAAGCCCTGCCCCAAACCCCTCTGTTTGCCTCAGGAGAAGCTCCTCCCTCTCTGCCACCACCACCCTCCTACTTACCCATGCTCTGTGTGGGTGTCTCCTCCCAGGCTCCGCTCCCCCACACCAAGGTCCCGGTTGCGGGCAGCACAGCGGGCACTGAAGGCGCTCGCCCACTCCTGGCGACTGGCCTCAGCATCCTGTGGCTCCACACTCCAGCTGTCCAGGTCCTGGCTCCAGCAGGCATTGCCCATGTCCAGAGAGAGATCCCTATGCAAACCTGCCTGGGGCTGTGGCAGGACCCTGGACATGGAGCCATCTGAGGCTCCGGCACTGCAGGGGTCTGGCACCCGCTCTGTCCCAATGACACCGAACTGGTTCTGGCACTCAGCTGCTCCAAGCTCCTCAGCCCAGTCCCTGCTGCTGGAGCTGTCACGCTCTGGCTGGTGAGCACTGCCCCAGGTGGGCTCCTGGGCCGGGGGATCGGGGCAATGGGAGCTGGGCATGTCCTCCTCACCAATCCTGATCAGTCCTGTCTGCCCGACACTACCCACAGCGGGCCAGCTCAGCCGGGCTGGGATCAGCTCCTGCTCTTCCTCCCTGGGAATCACAGAGCTGTGCTGCCCATACCACGCTGCTCCACTGGGGCTCAACTCTCTGTCCTGGGCCTCCACATCCCTGGTGCTGGATCTGTCATCCCAGACACCTCCGCTGGCACTGAACAATTCCTCATTCTGGGTCTCTGTGTCCCTGGTGCTGTGTCTGCTGTCCCTAGCTGGCCTGCTGGATGTGAATTCACTGTCCTGGGTCTCCAGGTCCCTGCTGCTGGATCTGTCACCCCAGGCTGCTCCACTGGGACTGAACTCATCCTGGTTCTCCAGGTCCCTGGTGCTGCATTCACTGGCTTCAGCCAGCCTGCTGGGGCTGAACTCCTGGTCCTGGCTCTCTGTATCCCTGGCGCTGGATCTGTCATCCCAGGCCGGCCTGCTGGGGCTGAACTCCTGGTCCTGGCTCTCTGTGTCCCTGGTGCTGGAACTGCCATCCCAGGCTGGCCTGCTGGGGCTGAATTCCCGGTCCTGACTTTCCAAATCCCTGGCTGGATCTGTCACCCCAGGCTGGCCTGCTGGGGCTGAACTCCTGGTCCTGGCTCTCCATGTCCTTGGTGCTTGATCTGTCATCCCAGGCCGGCCTGCTGGGGCTGAATTCCCGGTCCTGGCTCTCCATGTCCTTGGTGCTGTATCTGTCACCCCAGGCCGGCCTGCTGGGGCTGAACTCCTGGTCCTGGCTCTCTGTGTCCCTGGTGCTGGAACTGCCATCCCAGGCTGGCCTGCTGGGGCTGAATTCCCGGTCCTGACTTTCCAAATCCCTGGCACTGGATCTGAGAAGGTCACCCCAGGCCGGCCTGCTGGGGCTGAACTCCTGGTCCTGGCTCTCTGTGTCCCTGGTGCTGGAACTGCCATCCCAGGCTGGCCTGCTGGGGCTGAACTCCCGGTCCTGGCTCTCCATGTCCCTGGGGTTACACCTCCTGTCCCAGGCTGGCCGGCTGGGGCTGTGCTCCTTATCTGGGCTCCCAGCATCCCCAGTGCTGCATCTGCCAGCCCAGCCCAGTGTTAAATTCTCATCCTTGTTCCCAGCATCCTGGGTGCTGTATTTCCTGGCCCAGTCTGGGGTGAGCTCCCCGTCCTTCATCTCCATGTCCCCGCTGCTGTACCTGCCTGCCCAGGTAGGCTGCCCGGAGTGTGGCTCCTTGTCCAGCTGCCCGACATGTCCTGTGCTGAGGCCACTGCCCCAGCTGGCCTGTCCAGAGCCAAGCTCCTCTGTGCTGCCATAGCCCTGGCCCCACTTGGCTGTGCTGGCACCGAAGTCTGGATCCTGTGGGCAGCTCTTCCCTGTGCCAAGGGATGGGGACCAGTCGCTGCAGCCCAGTTTTGTGTCCCCCATCAGCTCCGTTGCTCTGTAGTCACCACTCCAGCTCTCCTGGGCAGTGCTGTCCTTGTTGCTGTGGGTGCTGTCCCAGCTGGATTTGGTCCTGAACTCCTGCTCCTGCTTAGTCTCAACAGGCCAGTCTCTCTCCCTGGACACACCTGGGTGGCTCCAGTCAAAGGTGCTGTCCTGGCGAGGGTGGCCAATGCCAAACTCACTGCACAGGTCCTTCCGTGACCAGCCCAGCAGGTTCTGGTGCAAAAAAGGGGAGAGGAGTTAAAGGGGGAAAAGAGGTTAGAAAGGGGAGAGGAGGGAAACACCTTGGGGACACAGCACAGTGGGGCCCATCCCAAGGGGGAGGCAGAACCCATCACTTGCCCCATAGCACACAGTCCTGCTCAGCCTCCACCCGCCCCATCCCGTCCCATCCCATGGCTCAGTGGAGGGCAAGAGGAGGAGCCCAGGCCACACCGACCATACAGAGCCCCCCACACCCCTCACCTCTGGAGAGCCGTGGACCCCGGGTGACGCCAACAGCTCTGTCAGCCAGCCTGGGTCGGTGTGGGGATCAGGGTCCTGCGAGGGTCCTTCAGCCTGGCCTGGGCCCCCGGGACCCTGCCGGCTCTTGGGGCTATCACCTGCCCAGGCTGAGTCAGCTGGAGCAGCTGGATCTGGGGGGGCTGGATCCAGGGGGGCAGCTGTGGTGAGGCTGGGCTGGGTGGAAGACTCAGGCTCAGCTGGGTCCTGTCCAGGCTTTGTCACGTGAAGTGGGGAGTGGGACATGGGAGCATCCTGCTCTGCCTCTCTTTCCTCCTCCTCCTCCTCTGCCGAGCCCTCAGCCTCTTGCTGGGCCACGGGACCCCCTGGGCATGGAGCCCCCTCTGCCTGCTGGCTGTCAGGCCCTTCAGACCTGCTGTCCTTTGGAGGGCTGGGGGCCACAGCCTCCCCATCTGACTCCCCCTCTTCAGAGAGCCCTGAGTCAGGTGTCTCCCGGATGGGGGAGCGGGGAGGGAAGGCTGGCAAGCGTGCCCCCCACGATGGGAATGTCCATTCAAAGGACTGGGAAAGGCTCCAGGCAGACTCACTGCCCAGGGAGGGCTCTGACAGGAGGTCTCCAGGCCGGGGCAGGGCACTCAGTGAGCCCCCCAGCTCCCCCAGGCCCTGCCCCGTGGGTGGGGGCCGCAGCACCCCCTCTGAGGAGCGCCGGAGCCCCACATCCCGAGGAGGGGTATGGAAATCAGGACCCTGATAGGACTGTGGGGACACTGCAGAGTCATCAGGTCCCTCTGGGGAGCCTGGGGGACGAGAGGCTTTGGCAAGGGGTGGG